GAGGGGGAGTAGGGGGTAAACTTTCATCTTGCCCCCAGCTGAAAATATTGGAATCGCAATTCTGTATTATTTTTTTTATTTAAATGAACAGTCCATGATCAATTTGCGGGGTCATAGTGTACAATATACATTAGGTTTTTGTAGCTCGCAAAGTGAGAGAACAGTAGCGAAAGTTAGAAGGTGACGCCAAGTGCAAATGATCTACCCCCCTCCCAAATGACTAAAGAACCGCGTATGAGTCCAAGAATGGATGCATGCATTCATAATAAATTCACGTGCGTCGCATACGAGAAAATGCAGACAGTTGAAAAGGGACAAACGCGAGGGCCATCTTTATTGCAAATGGTTCTTTAGTGGCACGCAACGGAGAGAAATTGGCACATCATAGCCTAGATAGCATTAGGGCGAGCTATCAACAGGCTTACTAGCTATCAATTATTTTGAGAAAGAAAGAGGAAAAACTATAAAATCAGCCAGCCGTGAGATAGATTTTGACGCAAGCTTGATAGTTCGGGTAGAGCCAACAGCATTTTTAACTCTGCTTTAATGATTTCAAAGATAATTAAAGATTGTTTTGTATTAACCTTTCCAGTTAACTGCCTATACTTTGGAGTCGGACTGTAGCTAGTCAGTTTTCACACAAACCTCTCTGCACACGCTCCAGACACTAGGCCTATACGTTTTATTTATAGTAACTCCTCGACTGTACAAAGTACGCCAGCTGACTATTAAAGCAGTCCTTCCAGGTGCCAGTCTACAAACCAGCCGGCAACTCAATCAGCTAGAAACCAGAAAAGCCATGCAGTTAAATCTAACCTACAGCTCTATAGCGTTTTTTCTCCCATGAACTACTCAATGCGGAACTGAAGCGGGAAGAGAGAAAACCTGCCGCTTCCTTACAAGCCTATCAACCGTAATACTAAATAACATTCCAAAGCAATTTCAAAAGCGTCTGCATTGATGGCCTTTCTAACCGAAATGCTTTCTTTTGAAGGAAATAAAAGGTCACTGGAACATTTAACAAAAATCACGTACCGGCACTAATCTTTGGCATTATTTCTAAGCTGCAATTGTTTAGGAGGAAGGCAAGAGTACACGATATGTCCGCAGTTGTACATATTTTCTTCCTGTTCAGGGGAAAAGCGGTCCCTTTGGGACAGTCACATCATAGCTCCCCTGTCACATCAACGGAGGGATAATTAGAGATGTAATTTCAGACAGCAATCTCGTCGTACATCGAGCAGAAAATTGGAACAGCAATGCCATCTCTCGTTGTCACCAACCCGAGATCCACAGTAATCTCGAAGGAACCAAGCCGGATCAGTTCACAACCACCGAACATCCGATTTGGCTTGTGCCCTTATAGCTCGGTGGTTACACGCGCACACAGACTTCTCCAGGGTCAGTGAGAGGCATGAGCCCCCTCAAGGCATTGCGCTCAGTATGTAATTTGTTTATTCTGAAAAATGAGAACCAGAGCTGTAGATTACGGGCTGTTGAGACCGACATGTGGGTCGATTCGGAAAATATTATTGTTCGAACCCGAGCCAGTATGTCTGGGAAACTGAACGGACACTTGGCAACTCAAGTTACGGTCACGTTTTCTTGAAAATTTAGACATACCAAGAAAGTATGACGTTTGATGTGACTTCTACATGATGACGACAATCACTAAACTTCATACATACCCCATAGTTCCTTTACAATGAGGCATTGTTTTTTTCATTCAACAGAATGCAATAATAACAGCTGTGGATGAAACCATTCTGTTGCGACGATTCGTTTCATGGCTCCAAGCGAAACAGAGCTAATGTTACCAAACCTTGGAGCAAAGCCATTTCAATTTGTAGTAAAGCCCTCACTATAGGAATCAAAGACTTTGGCATTCCACTAGGTATAATCAGAGTGAATGCTGTGTACTGGGGTTGCCTTTTTTGGAGGGACGGAGATGCTTCTTTGCTACAAAAGCTTAGTTTGAAAATCAAAGCCGGTAACTTGTTGGTTTCTTTGAAACTGCCAGCGTACACTTGAAAGCATTTTAAGGTTTAATGTGCGTTTGAAGTTTTATTTTTTGTTTGGCTTTTCGTGGCAAAGGAACAAAATCTAGTTTCAGATGTCGTGTTAATGTTGCAATTCAGACTTCATTCAGGTTCTTTTTAACAATAGAAGCTTTGACACAAAACCTGCAGAGGCTTGGCATATAAAGTCTGTGCCAAAAAGTTTCCAACGATGGACTACATTATTCGATTTTAAGATTTTGGAGGGCATCCTTGAAAAAGAAGATACCTCACTCCCCGAGGAAACAGGTTTGCGAAAGTAGTATTTCTCGCAATTACGGGCACTCGAGAACCCTATACGTGCCGAAGTAGATTTTCCGGGGCGCTTTACTCAGAACAATGCTGGTAGCACCTTGTGCGAAGCACGCGCACACCTTTGCATCTCTTGAAATATGCGTTTTGCCTGGGGGTGCACTAAAATCACAAGAGGAAGCCCACCTTCTAGTTTCATTCGGTGCTTTCAGTTCGTTGCAATAATTTCTACCTATAATAATTGGCTCCCTCTCGCTGTGCGTCATCAGTAAATTAGAAAAGACACGTTGGCCTGACCTTTTTCTAACTTTTTACCGGCGGTTTTTTTGTTTTGTGAAGGAAACTACGTCGGATACCTACGCCATTTGCTGAAACTCTTATTTTCCAGAATCGCTTTGCTGATTTAGCGTCAAAACGAAGATTAGATACAATGTCGCCCTAATACTCAGTTTAAAGGAGGACGCCACTATGTCTCTTTTTCATAACGTGCGTTTTGTGAAAAAAGTGCTGCTAACGGTACACCTTTGGCAGTGACATCAAAATTCCCCTTTTTCTCAACAAGAGAGCCTTTTCATAGTCATGCTCATTGCGAACAAAAACGTAGAAAAGCAGCACATTCAGGGAATGACGAAAACCGTGAAGTAACTTGTGTGAACGAAATTGATTGTCCCCAATATCTCAGTAAATTTGATTTGACTAATCACGATAACTGAAGAGATTAGAGATATAATACAATAGTCAAACTTTTTGAAATTGCAAATAATCTTTGTATAAGTGAAGGAAAGAATTGACCGCACTCGACAACTACGGAACTGAATCTAAAATCAATAACAACCAAGAGTCCAATTTCGATACACCGCATTTAGGCACATTACTAGGTTTCGTGTTGCCTATTAAAGATACAGTTATTCTCAAAAATGAGACAAGAAGAAGTAGAAATGTAGACATATAGTCTCCACACGTTCCATTGGAAACAAGTAATTGAATTTTTCTCTATTGGATCACGTTTCAACTATGAAGTATTCGGTCTACTGAAGCAACGGTTTCACTGTTTTGTCATGTGGAAGCTGTAATACAACAACCAAAACATTAATAGAAGAGGGGACGAGTAAATCATCTATGTTCATTTCCCGACATTTTGTTGAGTTGAATGTCCAATGATGAGCCACCTGATCCAACTGCACCATTGTTATTGACAAACGAGACGTTGACAGAGATATGACCCTGTTCGGAATGGGAGCGAAATATATCGTGCCACTTCCTGATTGGGAACACGTCGAAGTGAGCTTTCGTCTGTGAATCAAATAGACCTCAGGATTTAAAAAAAAATGCGCAGTAAATTTAATGAACATTCAAAATTTATTTTTCCAACACGAAAGAGGCAGACAAAATTCCTCTGGCATTTGAACAAAGAACACCCACAATACTAACCTACCAACGACGTTGCGCAGCTGGCGCTTCAGCCCGCTCGACGATCTTGTTTTGGCTGCTTTTGTGCCCACAATCCCATAAAATAATGCTGAAGCTGTTACATTTAGGTAATACCTTAATAAATTTCGGCTCTGTTCCGAACAGGGAAATTCCTCTGTAAATGTCTCGTTTGTTAACAACGGTGGGTAGTCAGATTGGGAGCACCAGCAGCAAAACGCCAATGTTATTATGAGAGATCTTTAGACGTGAAATCAGAAGGGTTGCGAGAAATGGACAAATGCCACCCCTAACCTGAGTAACCGTGTCTGTCGAATGAGTTACCCTTCTAAGGAAAAAAGAGATAAGTCTAACCAGCTGATTGCGAATCGGTAGTGCTGCTTTCACCTTGTCAGATTCAGTATTTAAAATCACACAGGCATGATTATAGGGGCAGGTTCAGGGCGTGGCATGGCGGCTCACGCCCCCCTTTTTCACTCAAAAAGAAAATAAATAAATAAAAAGGAGAAAAAGAGGGAGGGAGAAGAAAAAACGAGGAGTCACACTGCTGGAAATTGCACCACAGAGCGCCTAGAATCCAAAATGGTTCCGCACCCAACGCCGTACGGGCATTTTAAAATTACTGCTTTAGTTCACACCCCCCTTTGAAATTCGGGATCACCCCGCCCCCTTTTCGAATATCTGGACCTGCCCCTGGATTACAAGGAGATTAGGTGTACTCTTATTACATTATTCATTCTACGTCGATTATATATTTGCATCTTGGGCCTTCCCTGGAACGTCTCAATTAAAAAAATGAAGTATATTCTGAAAAAATTATTCGTCGTTACACACTTTAAACTGTCCTAAGAGACATCGACATGAGAATTTGGGTTCGACGTTTTGCCTTAGACGAAACGTGTCATTTGTGCTTTTGCCAAACAGCAAAACCTTTTGCTGGCATTGGATAAAAAGTACCCGAGTTGCAAAATAGCCGGTGGTATAAAGCTTTGCAAACCATGCAGCGTTGTCATGGGACTGTTAGGGTATTCCAGCAAAATTGTGCCGGGCTTTAAGTAAGTATTTTCGTAGCGTTTCAAAGTAGCTATTTGAGTCGAGGTATGGCGGAGACAATAGGTGAGTGCTATTTGGTTTGAGTTAAACCTTTTTATGTTTACTCAAAAATTACTCACATCGAATAGCGTCCTCTTATTTTGTCGGTCATGCTTCAAAGAATCTAACGCAGAAGGCTATACTTGAAACTTTCCTTTTCTTAATTGACAGGTGACCGTGCAAGCGACTTGTTGCACCCTGACAGCAATGTCAATCGATCGGTATCTTCTCATTGTCCATGCCGTTCGGTCTCGAAATACCCGAACGACAACCAGGGCCATCATCATCAACGTTGCTGTTTGGATTGGTAAGAGACTTTCCTTTTCCTTGTAATGATAAACTTACATTACGCCCTTCTCAATTATTCAGGAAAAAAGAGAGAACCTCTAAAGAGGTTTCTGTTGGTTTGATCATTGACCGGGAGAGTAAATGTGTTTGGATAAAAATACATGTTAAAATATAATTGAAAAAAAGTACGAACTCCTCATGAGAGAAGACGAGAGAAGATTCGGATATCGCTATAGAAACTCTACAAAATCTCTCTACCCACTGTAAACGTGATAAATATCTTGAGGGTAATAAGAGTTCTTTGTACACAATCAAAGGTCGATTTAGCTACGAGGTTGTCCTTATTTACTTCGGAATGACACCACCCCAGGCAGAACGGGTGATGAATTACATACAGTAGAAATTCAACCGGTGTGCATTTTATATTTACTCAAGCTAAAGTTGCATTGCAACGGGAATGTGTGGAAAACGTATGTTATTTTGTATTCCTCGATGAAAATTTACACGGGAAATGTGAGACGCTCATACATGAATATACAATCAAATCCATTTTGCTATTGTCAAACAACTGCACGGACGATACAGACTGGCTCGTTGATTCACTGATTAGAATATGACATTCTCTACAGAGTTCTAGTTCCAATGTAGACAGGAAAACAAGCAAGGAGCATACTGAGAGGTTTTGAATGAAATGGAAAACTTCCCCTTGCAAGCATAGTTATTAGGCGATTCGAAGTTTTTGTTTTCAGCCGTCAATGAGAAGCGATTTTCATGGTCTAAATTTGCCTTATTTAAGAAGGGACGACCCTTTAATGTGAACAAAGAGTTACATGAGCAGACCCAGCAACATAAAATGACGGGGGGGGGGATTCCCTCCCTGGTTACTTAGCGATAAAAGAGATCTAAACAAACTTGTCAAGGCTCAAATGGGTTTTGTTGGTGTTTACATGAACAACAACTAATATGCTGCATAAAAAATACTGACATCTGCTTTAAAGTTTCGTATTTTCCACCGTCGTCGAGGTGAGACTACATTTTCATCCCTCCACGTGTACACTCAAATCTTTTAAATGATTTCATGGCCAGAGCTCAACTGTGAGCCAACTGCAGGAAAATCAAGCACAATACTTATGGCACAGAAAATGTTGAAAATATAAGGATTGTACATCTTAACTGACTTGAACTGAGACATTTTAACCTCAACAAACAAAACTGTATCGATTTTTTAACAGTTATTCAGTGCTTGTTCTTTCTTTGTAAAAAAATGTTTGACTGTTTCTATTGATTAGTTTTATGTTTGAAGGGATACAGCTATACCAAAAATGATCCTACAACCTCAGAGCCGATTATGTTCAAATCAAACAGCATGTCAAAACCTCTTAAAGTCTTAAGGACCCATGAACAATTAAGCTACTTTTCCCGGTCAGCTGATGTAAAACAGGGCTTCCTTGCCTGGAAAAATTTTCGAGAGCAGAAAAGTGAATTGCCAGTGTATGGTTGACCTAGATATTTCTCCGATAATCTGACCAAATTAAATTGGCTGTTTCAGCAATGAAAGCGACGCCGTGTTTCGTTAGAGTGGCCCCTGTATAATTGACCCTCCGTCGAAGTATTATTTAAACATCGCATTCCCAGGTTTTGAACCAATAGTCGGTTTCTGAAAAGGATTCAGAGTCACTTCACCTTGTAGCTACTTAATTTTGCAGTGAATATATAAATGTAGAAGCTCCTGCATCTGGATGGTCGTGTTTTTTTATCTGAGTGACCTAGAATCTTTTTCGTTTAAAGCACCACCACACTGCCCAAGTAAAGCGAAAGTGCTTGGCAAATAAGCGGTCTGAAAAATTGCCATCATCGGCTAAATTTATCAGGCATGGGTGTTCTCTAGATAAAGTGCATCCTGCGTTAGACTAAATGGGATCGATTGACACGAAATATCATCTTCGTCTATTTCCGAGGAACCTCATTGGCCTTTTGTTCGATGGGCTTTTTTTTTGCTACCCTTCTTCTTGGCATTGTAGGAGGTCGACCAAATGGTCTTGTTCACTTCACGCCATTTCAGCGGGTGGGATGGACGATAAAAGTCAAAGCGTCGCTGGGATTGGAGTTGTATTAAGTTACCGTTTTAGGGGTAAAAGGCAGGTTCAGTAACAAAAAAAGCCGCGCTTTACTCTCCAGGGAAATATGATAATGAAGGAATGTGCACATTCGGTGCGTACTTTAGTTTAACAGCGCATAATGTTCACTGTAGTGGACGTCATTAGAAAAAAAACTGGTATCCACTTTGTTTGAATCGGGATCCATAAGTATATAGAAGGAATATTGAGGTGCAAGCACTCATCTTGTTAGCGTTTCTTGAGATTTTAAAGTCATTAAATGTCGGGACTCGCAGCGTTTTTTATCAACTGATCCAGTGGGTGTCAAAGCGTTCGTTATTCGTCATATCAATTTTGCCTAGTGTTGTCTCGAGTCACTGCTTTTTGTGACTCGTGTGGAGTCAAGTCATAGTAACAAAACAACTCGAGTCAAGTCATTGTAACGTTTCGAGTCGTTCGGAAAAAAAGTTGAGTGGAGGCATTTGGTACAAAAAGTCGAGTTGGGTCGAGTCAAGTAATTAAGCTCGAGTTAAGTTGAGTCACAAAAATTTGAACAAAAATTTGATAAACAAAAACAAGAGAGAAAGTAATTTGGGGGGCATATTAAACTTACCTCTGGGTTTGTACATTGTGGTCAAACCACATTTTACTCTTGATGAAAATGGCACGTGCCATTAATTTATACACATATATATTTAAACACAAACTGGCATCGCAAGTCTTTGCGGACAATTTTTCGCAAAGAGGGTCAATTTCACTTTTTTGGACTCGAGTCTTTTTAACTTTTACTCGAGTCTGGTCATCTGATGACGGACTCGAACCGAGTCGACTCATTTGCTCGCAGTGACTTGAGTCGAGTTGAGTCATTCACCCATTTGGACTCGAGTCGAGTCGTCAAAAACGGTGACTCGAGTCGGGCTCAAGGATATTCACTGAGTCTTTACAACTTTTGTCCCGAGGATTCCAAAGCCCACTGAATATACGCTCCCACGGCAAACGTAAATCAATGTAAGACATCTGCATCTCGATCAACTTGTGATCAGCTTGCACAGGGCTTCTATAACATCGCAACGAACAATCCGTAGTCTTCGGGTCATTTCTGATCAACACTATCTATTGGCTAGCAAGTGGGTTGCATATCAGAGAGGAAAAACATAGGGGACTTACAACTCTGGCACTTAAAAGTGCTTGAAGATCGCTGTCGCCGTCTTAAAACCACTTGCTTCACAATCTCAACCTGTCTACACCAACCATAGACTGGCAGCAATGTTGTACCAAAAATGTATCTGCCTTGCATTATAAGTAATACCACACTTTTCGTGTACGCACACACCGTGTCTTGTGAAGACTTAAAAAGTTTTAGCATCATGTCAGATTCCACGGTCAAACACAATTTTCGGATACTAGAGAGATTTTAGAAATTTGAATTGCACTGATGATTCTGTACCTGTTTTTGTTGCTTGAGAAACCGCATTACCTTTCTCATGGGAGAACAATGAAATGGAAAAGCTTCTAAATTTCGTGAACAGCTCGAAAATACAAATTCTTGACTAAGCAGAATACAGCAATGTCAAAAATATAAAAGATGATAAATTATACTAAAATGAGATGTTTTAGCGAAATGTCCATTCATTTAAAAAGAAAAGAGTAAAAGTGTTTCGGATGGGACATTTTGAGATGCCAGTGGTAGCGGTCATTACGGTCCTTTTCCACAGTCTTGTGCAGGCTCAAAACTATGCACCCATGCTAAGAACTACGTGCATGCTCTGAATGGGCAAAAGGATTGGCATAAGAAAGTCTCTCATTACAAGCGCTTGAACACATGTACCAATCGTGTAAGACCCTTGGAGTACAGCTGCGCTTAAGAAAAACCGTGTTCTGTATCGCACGTTGACTAGAGAGGTTATCGATTACCACTGAAATAGCAACGATCATTACTGTATGGTGCCTGGGTTCAGCGAGTGACGTAATCGCTCAGAATACGGTTGCTATGGTCATTCCAAAAATTGGCTTCATTTTCTTCGCCGGGATGTTCAAGCTTCTGTGTTCCCTCCTCTATGGTTGCATCAAATTTACAGGCATAAATATCAGGTATACGAACAGCCATGAACGTACCTAGGGAACCAGTTTCGTCTCCTTTCAGCTACAGCTAAGATAATCATCTTGTTGTAAAAAATAATGCTATGATTCATCCATGAATTTAAATGTGTACGTTCAAGCAGAGCAATGCTGTTTTTTGGGGGTGGGGGCGGAAATTATCTAAATCAGATTTAGCCTCGTTTTAATACTAGAAAAATGTCTACTTCCTCCCCCCCCCAGATGATAACAGGTGCTGACAAAGGACAAGGCAAAAAGTATGTGACCAACCAAGATGTTAGACCTTTTCATCCACTGAAAATGCTCTCTAGGGAGATCTGGCCATTAAGTAGAAAGCGCCGTAAAATGTTATGAGTGGGTACTTAGATTGAGTTATAGGGAATCACCGTGATGAATTTGTAATGAATAATAATTTTTATGTATTCTAAAATGTCAGGTTCTTTTGATCTAAAATTCTGTCAACTCTCTTTCTCCTTTGACTACAAAAGTCTTCATATTTTTAACTACAATCACATTTGAAGCATGATATAAACTCGGGCAGAGATTTTTGAGCTTTACTCCATACAAATTTGGAAAACGTTTTGCATAATGAATTATTGAAACCTCAAAAAATATGAAATCAAACTGGTGGGGAACGCATCGCACGTGGATGTGCCACTCCCGTTATGTGTTGTTGCTACTGCGCTACCTTACTTGCAATCATAAATGTACATCGTACATAGACAATTTATGGGTGAGCAGGTTAGCGTACCAGTTCTTTCCTCGCTTTTCTCCTGCCTCTAAAACTGGACCATCTTCCTAACTATGTAACGAGATGCTGATTTAT